TGATACTAGAATGAATTAGACATTATTACCCTATGTGCATATGTGACCACACGACCAATATGCTTCCACATCATGTACAACCAGGAGGAGAAGTTATACTCCATTTTTGTATGATGTGTCCAAGTGCATTCTAGTGTAATGTATAAATACTTAGAACAAATTAAAAAAGAATCTGAGCAAATCTGAGCAGAGAATGAACAAATTTATATTGCTTACTGAATTTTATATTTTAAATAACTAATAATAAAATGTGACATGCACATTGAAGAAACAACCACCCTCAAAGTGAAGCACTGCTTTGCTATCCTTGGCTTTCATTTTGTAACTTCTTTTTCTTTTCTTGGGCAGGAAAAGAATCTGGTAGATTAATCATAGTGAGAGACACAGCTAATACAGAATATCTTCGTGGGCTATTGAGCTGTCTAATCATGTCTAGTCAACTGGTCTAATTTTGAACAGAAAAAAATATAATAAATATCACCTCACATTCTAGAACTTTCTTGCAAGTGCTGAGTCAACTATTTATACATCCTGTTTATGACACATCCCCTTCTCTGCTAGTTTCACCAACTTTAGCAGCAAATTCTCTCAAAATGTCACATATATTTAATAATGTTATTGGCCTCTTAGTCCTAATGTCATTTATTTTCTATTTTGATCTACACATCTTAGTTTCTGGGCAATTTATCATTTTATTTTGTTGACACTTCACTCTTTTTTTTTTTACTTTATTTATTTATTTGGTGCTGAGGATCAAACCCAGTGCCTCACACATGATAGGCAAGTGCTCCACCAGTGAGTACAGCCCCAGCCCTCCACTTCACTCTTGAAAAAGTTTCTTCACTGTCTACATTTTCTTATTCAAATGATCTTTCTCTGTTCCAAGTTAGGTCCACAAGCATCTTTGTATCATATGGTCCTCCCTTTGCATTATCTCATCAGATATTTTCACCAGCCACACAAATTTCTATCATTAAATCTTTCACAGCATTCACTCAGCACATATCCACCAGAGCAGCATTGCCTACAAACTCCTGTCTCTTGGAGGAATGCATGCTGTAGCTGAAGTACTTCCCTAGGCTCCCAACTCTTTCCCTAAACAAAGCAGTGATCCAAGTAATGCTTAGAAATTACCCTTATCATAGATTTTAACCAAACAGCACCGTGACAAACTGTTTTGTTAAGAGCTGGGCACAAAACTATTAGGATCTGAAAGAAGAAAACTGACTTCCTATTTTAAGAAATCCAGGGAAAGAAATAGACACACAACACCAATTACAACATAGTGTGATGAGTGTATCAACAGATGCTTGTATGCTTCGTTCATTTTTGATTACCTCTCTATACCAAGCAGTGAGTCCCAGTGGTTAACAAGAGGAACAAAACCTTTGCCCTCTACATAAACATTCCAGTGGTGAATGGGGGTGGAACAGACTAAATACTTTTAAAGTTTGTAATGAGTGATACACGAATGAGAGAAAATAAAGGGTGGTATGTATAAATAAAGGAAGTGACTAAAACGAAACTGAAAAGTGGCAATTGGCCTGAGAGGTATGAGGGATAGGAAGCAGTCAGTCAAGTGAAGATATTCTGATGCTGAGGATAACAAATGCAGTAGCCTGGGTTGGCACAGGCTTGGCAGGAATGTGCTTAGGAAGGCCAGGCTGCCACGTACAAGCACAGATGGTACCTGACTTACTATGGTTTGTCTTATGATGGTGCAGAAGCAATGGGCATTCAGATAAAACTATACTTTGAAAATCGTGTGTGTGTGTGTGTGTGTGTGTGTGTGCATGCTAGGTGTTGAACCCAGGGCCTTGTACATGCAAAGAATGCACTCTTCCACGAAGTTGCACTCCCAGTCCCTGAACTTTTACCTTTTTCTACACTGGCAATGTGCAGTATGATACCTTGAAGATCCTGGGCAGCAGCGATGAGCTGCAGCTCCCAGTCAGCCATGTGCTCAGGAGGGCGGATGACCAAGACTCTACAGTGTGCTGCGTTGCTTAGCTATGATGTTGTAGTAAATGCATTTTTGACTTATGATATTTTCAACTTACAATGTGTCTACCAGAATGTTACCAATCATAAGTCAATAAGTATCTGTAAATGGACAATAGAAAGAAAGAGATAAAAGTCAAAAAGGCAGGCGGAAGCCAGATTCTACAAGGCATAGTAGGTCAAGTATAGAACTGGGAGAAAATTAGCTTTGGCTGGAGAGAGATGTGGTTTCATGATTTTTAAAAAGATCATTCTGGGGGCTGGGGCTGTAGCTCAGTGGCGGAGTGCTTGCCTAGCATGTGTGAGGCCCTGGGTTCGATCCTCAGCACCACATAAAAATAAATGAATAAAATAATGACTACTGTCATGAATAAATAATTAGAACAAATATAAAAAGATTTAAAAATGAAGGTATTTGTGTATTCATCTACAACAAATACACACGCACATAATAATTTTAGCTGCAGTATGGAAAAAGAATAGCATGGAAACAAGTAGCCTAGTCGGGAAGCTTTTGAAGTATCAGATGAGAAATAATGATAGCTTGGATGCTGACAGAGGGGAGGGAAAAAGGCAGGTGCAGTACCCTTTATTCTACAGTTGGAATGAACAAGGTTTGTGGATTGACTGGAGGGGCATGGGATGGGTCTTAAAAGGAAACTGTGGTCATAGAGAAAAGGGAAGCTCATCTCTACCTGGGGACAGGGAAGCATGTCAGAGAACACAGTATTAAAGATGTAATATTGAAACACAGTCTCAAAAGTAGGTATGAAAAAAAGAAAATAAGTATCAATGATATGGAGAAATTGGAACACTTGTGCCTGGCTGGTGGGAATGTAAAATGTGCAGCTACTGTGAAAAATGGTATGGTAGGTCCTCAAAAAATTAAATAGAATCATATGATCAAACAATTCCAATTCTAGATGTATGCCCCAAAGAACTGAAAGCACTAATTCAAACAGATATTTGCACACCCATGTTCACAGCTGCATTATTCATAGTAGCCAAAAGGTGGACGAACCCCAAGAGTTCATCAGTGGATGAATGGATAAACAAAATATGGCATATACATACAATGGAATATTATTTAGTTTTCAGAGGGCAATTCTCATATATACAACAATATGTATGAGCCTTAAAAATTATACCAAGTGCAAATTTTTAGCTGCAAAAGGAAAAATGTGTGATTCTGTCTATATGATATGTAGAGTAATGAAATATACAGAGACAAAAAGGAGACGGGCACAGTGGCACATGCCTGTAATCCCAGCAACTTGGGAGGCTGAGGCAGGAGGATAGTGAGTTCAAAGCCAGCCTCAGTGATTTAAAAAGGCACTAAGCAACTCAGAGAGACCCTGTCTAAGGGCTGGGGATGTGGCTCAGTGGTTAAGTACCCTGGATTCAATCCCCAGTACCAAAAAAGAGAGAGAGAGAGAGAGAGAGAGAGAGAGAGAGAGAGAGAGAGAGAGAGAGAGAATGGTAGTAACCAGAGGCTGGACCAAGGAAGGGGAATGGGTTCTGAGAAAGAAGTAAAAAAGAGTTCTGTGGATGGATGGCAGATTTCACAGTAATGTGGATATACTTGATACCACTAAACTGTGCACTTAAAAATGGTTAGGATGGTAAATTTTATGTGTCTTTCACCAGTATTTAAAAAGAAAAGCAGGTAGGATTTGTCCAAGCAGTCACCAAGATCAGGAGAATCCCAAGTAGAAGCAGCTGCATGTGTGAAGACACAGAGAGGGCGAGGTCTAACTTGTTTTCAGGGGCACAATTAAGGTATTATGGTAATTACAATTGTTTAAAATCTTGATATAAAACTCTGGTGTTATCAGCTCCTAAAAAAACCCCAGAATCTCTTCCTGCCACAGACAGGGAATGCCAGTTCATTTACTTAAATACTTGTTGAGCTCCTACAGGTGCCAGACAGCAATAGCTCTGTTCTCCTACATGTCAGCCCAGTGATGAAGCCCTACATGCAGGACCAAGGTTACAAAATTATGTAGTCTCCATTTTGGTAAGTCAGTGAAGGAAAACTATAAGAGCAATGAAATTGCTTCTAACAAGGGGGCCTAACCACTTGATAGTGGGGTACAGGAAGCAGGAGGAAAATTTTTTAAAATTGACACTGACTGGTGGGTAAGAGTGACTGAGACAAAGAAGTTTGGGACCTACCAGCCAATAAGGCAAAAGAGAAGAGTGATTGAAAAAAAAACAAAGGTGTGTGTTGGAGGGGATGGGGGGGTAAAGGAGAGGTAAGAGGACACTCTATTCCACTGCAACAGACATCATATTTTCTGAACTACAAAACTGAGCTATATAGATTCCCATAAACAGGAATCAAACAAGCTATGAATCAAAGCATTAGATTTGCTAACAGACTCTGAGAGTGTTTTCTGGACATGCTAAGGGAAAATAATTCTGCTTAAGCTTCTGCCCTCAAAACTCATAAAGTGAAAAGAATATCCTTTTTTATTTTTTATTTTTATTTTTAACCCAAGGGTGTTTTATTTACCACTGAAGTACATCTCCAGTCCTTTTTATTTTGAGAGGAGGCACGGTCTTGCTAAGCTGCTGAGGCTGGCCACGAACTTGGTATCCTCTTTCCTCAGCTTCTCTGGCATTACAAGCGTGTGGCACCACGCCCAGCTATTCTCCCCTCCTAACAAGGCCAAAGGTTTTAAACTTTGGGATCACACAACTTGTGATCCTCCCCCCTTCACTCAACTTCCCCATGGGTTTCCTACTTTTGATCTTGGAATCTTAACAGCCATGCATCCCTCAAACTTGGCAGAATCTTAAAGACCCAGGATGGTAGAAGGGCCGCTGCCCCCACAGGATGCAGGTGTGCGACGGGTTGTGTGCATGTGGCAGGAAGGGGCTCGATGCATCACCGTTTGGGCGCACCTGGAGCCCCATCTGCCGCAGGAATGCCATCTAAACACACCCTTGACCCCTCACCCCTACCCCAGGTCCCGGCGGCAAGGGGACCTGCTCACCCTTCTCCTTGGTTAACATGGAAATGAGGGGCACCCTCGGGCGGTCGCTGAAGACCTCCGCCTGCTGTACCAACGCCTCGCGCACGCTGTGGAAGTCGTTGAGCACCACCACCAGGTAGTGGCCGATGAAGAAACTGAAGATGTTGCCGTACACACGAGCCAGTTTTGCCAGGATCACCTGCGGGGCCTGGGTCGTGGGGTCCATCCCTGCGGCCCTCGCAGTGTGGCTCACCCAGCCCTGTCGCCGCAGGAAGGGCGGCAGTAACACGTGGCCAAAGTTGCCCACCAGAGGCCAGGGCGTGGGACCCGGGGGGATATCCCGCGCCCGGTGCCACCGCACCCAGATCCAGCCCAGCAGCGCGATGAGGCCGCACAGCAGCAGCAGCGCGCCGCCGCTCGGGTCCAGCCGCAGCAGTCCCCGAGTCGCAGGCAGAAGATGCATCGTCCAGGGCGGGTCGTCAGCCGGGAGCTGCTGCTGCCCGCGAGAGGACATACTCCACACGCCGGCGTCAGCACCCGCAGCAACCGAGTTCCTCTAGGTGACCCAGGCTCAGTGTAAGCAAACGCCCGCCCTCGCCCGCGGCCAGCTCCGCCTTGGAAGGTCAGGGGCGGGGCCTGGAGAGCTGAGAGCGCCCGGGATTGGCTGCGCCCAGCACATTCTCCCCGCCTCCTCCAATCAGCGGCGCTCGAGCGGAGCCCAGAGAGGAGGTCGGCGGGTGAACTGGTCGCGCCTTCTGATTTGTCCCAAAGTTTCACCCCGTGTTTAGGTCGGGCTTGATGGTGACAGCCCCTGAAACTAGGATGCTGCAACACGACCTTAGGCACTAACTGAAGCACTAACTGCCGGTGTGTGTGTGTGTGTGTGTGTGGTGTGTTTGTGTTTATCACTCATCTCGTCTGCATCCCTCATCTTGTCTGCTGAATACATAAATTCAAACAGGTTCTCGCGTCTGTTTCTGCGTCTGACCTGAGACAAGCAGAATACTTTATTCTAAGAATATAAAAAGAATTTGCTTGGAGGATTTAAGAACTTGTAATATAAAAACAAAAGCAATCGGTTGCGGAAGGTGACAGTATTGTGATTGGCCTTAGACCAAACCTGAAATGCTGAGGTTGCAATTTAAAATATAAATTGCGTAATATTTTAAAAACAAAGTCCTTCTTCAGTCTCTCTTGATAATGGCTCGGGGGTTCTTCCCTTTCCGTCTTCTAACAGACCGAACCCTGTAGTTTCTCTTAGATTGGTCATAGAGTTGTTCTGTTAGACCAATATTTTGATCCTTTTCCTTCTCCATACACTAAAAGTTTGATCGCCCTGCACTTAGAAAGGTGTGACCAGAGCATAATGAGCTCTCTTCCGTCCATGGTCCATTCTATTTTGTTTCTATAAACAAGTGATTCCAGTAAGATATGTTAAATTTCCAGACCACTCTGTTCTCACACTATTTTTTTAACCTGTTTTTCCTAAGTTAAGCTTGGAGTTGTGCCCCCTAAAAAACAAAAACACACCTTGCATCTTCTGTAACTAGCCATTAATTGTTAGATTACTTTTCGTGTTCTTTTAATATCTAAAAGAATTTTTAAAATCTAAACTCTGTCTTCAGATATGACCTTCAACATAGGATCTCATTTTTTCATAGCCCTGCTCTCTATAGTGGTAGCCACTCAGTCTTTTCTTACAAGCAATTCACAAATATTTTTAAACTATTTGAAGCTATACCTCATTTACCAACACTAACAGCCTTATTCTTGTGATATTACTACTACACACATGGTGTTTTCCTAAATATTCTCTTACTTTTGTTAGGTTAACAGCTCTGTGAGGCAGAGAGGAAGTATCCTGGGTTGGATTGTGTGTTTTCACCCCAATTCATATGCTGAAGAACTAACCCTCAGTACCTCAGAATGTGACTGTATTTGGAGAAAGGCTTGATAACAGAGGTAAAAGTTAAAATGAGGTCATATGTGTTCATATGCGTGAACGTTAATCCAATATGACTAGTGTCCTTGTATGAAGAAGAGGCTAGGACAGAGACACAGAGGAAGACTATATGAGGTCAGCAAGAAGGCATGGAGACTGCAGAAGAAACCAAGCCTGCCAACGCCTTGATCTTTAACTTCCGCATCCAGAACTGTGAGGAAATTACTTTCTGTTCTTAACCACCAGTCTCAGCACTTTGTTGTGGAAGCCCTAGATCAGTGCAGGAAGCTATATTGTTCCTCTTAATACTGTGGGTAACCCATACATGAGGGTGCTTCTCAGGGATGAATTTCACCAAATTGCATTCAGGGAATTCTTGCCAGGGGAAGAATATTTCCTTCTCTATCTTCTCTTTTTTAGATAGAAAAATACAATAACAATCAGTAACAGTATAGGAAGACAATAAAAAAAAAGATCTTTGGGGTAGGGATAGACAGCAAGAAAGACGATAAAACTTTAACAAAAAATAAATAATTTTATTGAGTCCCCTAGACATTTTAAACTAGTCACTTTCCCACTGAAATCCTTCTGGATTTACATGGATTTGGGCCAGAACTGTTGGTAACTGTATAACTAAAATATCTAAGTACTTATTATTTTGTTATCAAGAGTGGTGTTAAATTACCCTATTTGTAAAACTACAATTGTCCAGCTGGTTTGTAATTCCCTGGGAGGTACATGCCACTCACCACACACTCTTGCAGAGTCAGTGAATGCGAACAGAGAGGGCTTATGGATTATGAAGTGTTTGCAAAATGCTAAAAAAGGAGAGGTGTTATTTATTCATACTACTTGGTTGTATAATCCCACTGATCATTTAAAAATTAACCCCTTCATGTGCATGTGTGAGACTGTAACAACAAATCCCACTATTATGTATTATAAAAATGCACCAATAAAAATGATAAAATAGGGGCTGGGGTTGTGGCTCAGCTGTAGAGCGCTTGCCTTGCATGTATGAGGCACTGGATTCTATCCTCAGCACCACATAAAAATAAGTAAACAAAATAAAGGTATAAAAAATGACAAAATAAAAATAATTGACACCTTCATATCCTTTCAGTTCACATGATTTGCTTCACATATACCTGAATGTCTTCTATTTATATGTGTGGTTATGCACTTCTTCAAGAATATAAACTCTCCATCCTCCCAAGTACCTTACCTGAAACTGAGGTAATAAATGTGTCTATGTTAAGCATAAAGCTCAAGTAAAATGATCAGCACAATATCTAGCATTTTATTAATAGTGAATTAGGTACAAGCTGTAATTATAGTAGTTATTATTGGGCCTGATACCTTAAATTCAACAGATTGGTGCTATCACTGACATTTTCCCCCACCGCTTGAAGTTTTATGAACCATGTCTGAGATCAGATTGTGAGACTGGACAGGGCATTATTTCCTATACTTAGCATTTATGCCTTCGAGTGCTGAATTAATACACTTACCCATCTTCAATATTACCCTCATTACCCTCTACCCGCTTGGTTACATGTATGTACTGTGGTAGCTGCAAAAGACATGAAGGGAGGGGAGCCCTTGAAATACCTGTCTATTAATGGAAGGTGGAAAATCAAAGGTAACAGAAGCCAATTCCTGAAACTTTTTTATTTGGACTTTTTCTGAATTTCAAACCAGAAATGGTCCAAGTGCTGTACAACAAAAGAGGGGGTCAGGAGAGAGGGAAACTGGTATATTTATTCAATAAACTGCTCCTGTCCAATAAAAAGGGGTACACTATGGTAGACTCCACAGCATGGATGAATCTTAAAACATACACTCAGTGAATACGCCCGGGTTGGGGTTGTAGCTCAGTGGTAGAGCACTTGCCTAGCACATGTGAGGCACTGGATTCGATCCTCAGCACCACATAAAGATAAATCAAAAAATAAAATAAAGGTATTGTGTCCATCTACAACTGAAAAAAATTACAAAAAAGCCATACCAAAAAAGAGTACATACTGAATAACTGCATTTATATGAAATTCTTGAGCAGGAAAAACTAATCTATGGTGATACAAATCAGAACAGAAAGTTGACTGACAGGAAAGGAATAGGAGAACTTTTCCTGGGGTGGTAGGAACATTCTACATTTTGATCAGGATATTGGTTACTTGGGTGTATGCATTTGTCAAAATCGAAGTGTGCATTTTACTATAAATAAATAAATTATATCTCCATAAAACAAATAAAAAATAATAAATAGAAACCAGTATTTTCGAGAAAAAAGACATGGTGAAGTAAAAAGACAGTAGTTTTGGTTTATGAGATGTACCTATTGTGAGGTGGGTGCCCACATGTATGTTGTTAAAGTGACAATAGCAATTAGAGGTTTAGTATGTAAATAAAGAAAAATGAAAAAAATGTTATTAAAGAGATACATTCCTCTTAAAAAATAACATTCTCTTAATTCCCCTGGTTGTAAATGTTACTGATTCTCCACATTTTATTTTTGTGTATACCTAAGCCTTGCTGAAATTCCTATTTCTCCCCATTTATTATGCAGAAACCATCATAGAAACCACAAGGGACCTCTGTCCAAATCTAATTGGGTTGCCACAGACATATCATTAAAGTTCTGACTTTGGTTCTTTTTACTTGGTGAAATTAGGGGTTTAATACACATGTTCTATGTCCTCCAGTCCCTAACATTCTCCTGCTTATGTGGATTTGCAGCACGTTGAATCTGGCCTTTGGTTAAAATAACATGCTTAGCCAATCAAATTGAAAAAATAGTATATACAAGGTAAAATATAAGCCAGTTGCTTCTTCAACAAAGCTAGCACAGGGCTGCTACTTCCTGGTTCCAGAGATGAGACTTGGCCCTGTGCCTAATTATGAAGGCTCTTTTCCAAGTGTTGTTAAGACTCATATTTTAGAAAGGACATTGAAAATTTACCTATTCTTTAGGCAAGAACATATTCAAAGAAAACTGATATTTTATTCATTCACTTAAATTTAAGGTTCAAATTAGGTTTATTTTTCAATAAAATATACCTGGGGCTCATTTTGAACTTTAAGAAATCGTTATCATTCGTGTCACATAAACTACAGTCAACTTCAGTTCGCATTTATTCCTTAGGTGACTTTAATACTCTTTAGTTACATTGAAGACAATAGTAAAGACCCACAATTTAACTTTTTTAAAATATAACTTTGTTATTAACTAAAGGATGTGTACAACATTGTGAAATGTAACAGATTGAAGTGTCTCAGGGACACTCCAGAAAACTAGATATTTTAAAGTAAATATTTCACTCTGATTTTTAAAATATTAAGTTTTTGTAGAAAAATTGAATATACAGAACATTTTAAAGTAGGAAATAATCTCATCTTTTTATTCTTACCATACAAGGGGAATCTTTGTAACTTAATATGCATACATATTTCTAGTCTGGAATGCATATATTTAATCATTACAAATATTTCATTTAAAATGTTTATATATCTGTTAATATGTGAATAAAGAGATATCATGAATATTTCCCATGTTGTTCTCCCACAAATTGTTTGAAACTTCTATATTGTTGTGTAGAGATCAGCACCCTTTTCTTGG